AAAATAGAATTTTGCAATAAAAATAATGCAAACAAGAGAACAAACATTTCTTGAAAAATTTTTTTTAATTAAATTACAGTATACATACAGATGATAAGAAAAAGAAAGAATATATATGCCTTGAGAAACCAAAAACGTCTTATGATTTTGTAGAGAGCACTTGTTATCTCAAAGCAGAAAACATGAAAAATGAACTGCGTAATCAAAAGAATTCAAACCAAGGATCTTCCAGTTCATAGCTGGAACATTTTCTATATCAGGAGAACAGTTTCAAAATGCACAATAATTCCTTACGATCTTTCCAACTGGAAAAGACAGTAGGCTCGACTAAATTCAAGTCATGACGACTAATGCTTCCCCACAATATAGTTTGGGTGTCACTTTAGAGACCATTAGATATTTTAGATCAGGAACCATATAAAGTCAACTGTGCTTTCATGGAATGCGAACCACATATCTTCCAGTTTCCGGGTAGACGTGTTGCCAGTTGCACCACAAAAGGACGCAAGAAGTGTCCTCCAACCGAGATAGTGGTTAGTGACTCCGATTACCGTACGATATGTTTCGGTCCACTTGGCGAAGTAATCTATGATAGCGAGGATTGCCATCAATTTATCACGAGACCCGGGTTCGAATCCTGGAGAAGGCATGGATGTTTATAAATGTATAGTGTCTGTGCGACATGTTGGCACTCTAAATATGCGCTTAGCCGAAAGCACTCTCGAGAGTTTGGTGGTAGGGGAAAAGGGTTGGAAGACATTCGGACTAGTCCTCCGGGGGTGGTCTCCATCAAAATTGGGGGCAAAAAAGTCGTACTGTCACCAGTATGGTGTCCAAACTCTAGCCAATGACAGGCGCAAACTTGCATTCCTTGCCATGATGAATTGTGTGGGCTTGTTCTGATATTATTTTCAGGCAAGTGAGATGAATCACAGAACGCAAAAGGGAAGGCGATAATTTTATATGTATATTTTTTTAGTCCAAAGGGTCTTTGTCCCCGAAGGATTATTGTTTTTGTTTTGCGATTTTGCGTTGAATCACTATAAATGTCCATTTCATTTTTCAAACTGTTGCCACCAAATGTTAAAGTCCTGTATTATATTTGAAGAAATTAAATAATGAAACATCTGCATCAATAGATGTATATTTCTCTCATTGTGATAAAACAACGGTACATAGAGCCATCGAATTTTGAATGACGTAATCCTCCTACGAATATGGGCATGTGGAAGACCAAATTTGAAATTTCGTATTTGTTTTATTATCGATTTCATATTTTATAGAACTTTAACGAGTTTTTGAGTAACAAACTCAAAAATTTTAAAGCAAGTCATGGAAACACTCTACGGGGGGGGGGGACCTTTTCATCTCCAGCGCGCGGAACTGTGTATCGGAAATTCTAAAGATAGTCTCATTTTAAAATTATTTTGCGACATTGCTATTGAACTGAATTTTATGGTTTCAGTGCAAAGAATATGATATTTAATAAATAAATGTAACACACGAAATGTTAAAAAAACGCCTCTTTGGACTAATTTAAAATCTGAAAACTTTTCAGTTCCCCCCCCCTCCCGCGATATTTACTTAAGATGACTGAAACTGGTACCACGGTATTACGATGTATGCCTGTATAATTGTTTTCACGGCATAATATTCATAGAGAGAAAAGTGTTGACTAGTATTTTTGATTAACAAATCAGCCAATTATATAATTTGAATGTAAAATCTGTTCTATTCTTATAGCTGAAGTTGTGTGACTCCTCCGTTTATCAAAATATATTTGCACTATATAATGATAAAATATTTGAGTTTTCAGCAATTCTGATCAACATTTACTAATTTTGCTACTAAACTTCGAATTTTATTTCAAAGAATTAGTTTTTTTCTTTTATAGAAGCTGTATTTCGCCTACTGCAGCTAAGATTATCAATAACTCATTTTATTAAAAATATAATAAATAAATAAAAAGGAAGCAAAAAGGGAAAAAAGAAATTGAGATGTATTAAACCCCTTTTCTCGGAAAACAATGATGAAATCGCATTAAAAACTTTTGAAGAACAGTAAGTAAGCAAATTTGTATTCTACGTTATCAATAAAATTGGAATTTATTTCTATAGCAATTACTTTCTACCTTTTTCGATAAATACTTCTTCTCTAAATTCATCATGGTCAATATTTATTTGACAAGCTGATAAAACAATCTTATCTGAAGTCAAAAAAAGAGCATATCTTTTCATATTTAGTTATTTTTTAACATTTATGAACAATTTAACTGCTCATTCCTAATTCTGATTGTTCAATAATGTTGATTCCATTGATTGTTCTGATTAGTAGGATTCGTATCTGATTTAATTAACCAAAATCTAATTCTAGCTTTAACCACAAATTATCAAAGTAAAAAGGTTTGGGGGAATCAATCACAAATCATCAAGGAGAAAAATGGATTGAAACTGGCTATTCTCCTAAAGATCCAGTTCATTATATAATTGTTTAAATATTATATTAGAGGCTTTTGAATTATATTTACATAGTAGTGACTGAGAAATGAATTGTTGAAGTGAAAGTGTGTATAGTTTAAGTTTTAACTTGTCTTGAAAAGAACCCTTTTCAAAATTCTAAAGAGCATCAAATGGGATTTGGTCCATAATATTATCCTCCAAATTCAATTCAATAGTTAAGGCAATCCATAGCTCAATAGAAGTACTTACATTCTCTCACAAAATCTATCCTCCAGAAATCTTTTTTGATAATGCCTTATTTTTCTGCCTCATATATTTCAGTTATGTTTTGAGATCACCTTTATTTTATAAATTGTGTATTTTCAGTAAAGAGGTTGCATTTTGAATGGCTGCATATTAAACTAATTTTTTTAGTCGAAACAACACATACCATTAGCAACAATACTGAAAGTAAATACATGAATATAGAATTCTATTTGAAAACAGTGGTTTTATTGCACTATTTAGATTGACATTGACTGATTTTAGAGTTCGAAGTTTCAAGAATTTTGTGATAAGCCACTTTTGTAATATTGATATAAATGATAAAATTTGATCCTGTTTCCTTTAAGTGTGCACCCCACCAGTAGTCGAATGGGTAAGACCGCTAAATACTGGTAGTTCGACCTGGCATGGGGCCGATTACAGACGAACAGGCTGGCTGCATGGTAAGTTTTCGTAGATTTCCTTATGTGTAACGTGAAGGCGAGCCAATTTTCCTTAGAAAGTCCTCCACGAAAACATTGCTTCTTCTTTTCAGATAGCCCTTGAATTTGTGATATTCAAATAACTTAACCTAAACTTCCTTTAAGTGTGCCTACGCGTATATAAGGGAAAATAAAAAACGGCTTTGTTCTTTACTAATTCATTACTTTTTGAATTGTTAACACACAACAAATACCTATAAACACAATATAAAAGATTTTTAGAAGAAACTGACGACATATTTATAAGAATAACATATATTGCGCTTTTTACAGATGAGTCATTCAGCCTGCTCACTGATTTTCGGCGTACCTGTATCTAGAGAAAGTGCAGAACACAATACCATCCCTCCCTCAACAGAGAAAAGGATCACTCAACAGAGAAAAGGATCACAAAGGTGACCCTGGGTTCCAGTTAATGAATGACAACGCTCATCCACATAAGGCTCAGCTGGTCGACGATTATCTGGAAAGTGAGGATATTCTCCACATGGATTGGCTAAACAGATCTCCTGATAACCATATACAGTATATCAGACACATCTCTTGCAGCATGTTTGGGAGTTCTTGAGAGGGCAATTTCCTCTCGCCAGGCCGTCCAAAAACCATTCCGCAGTCGAAATCTTTCTTGTTGGAGGAGTGAGATCGAACGCCACGGAGACTCTTCAACTGCTTCTTGTGCACTATGCACCTGTCTGCCTTTGAGAGATTAGACTCATTTTCAGTTCAATATCAAAACTTGGATTTTGGAAATCTCTGCACTATGAGCTTTACTGATAATTATGCGTACATAAAATACCTTTTGATTGGTACATTTCTTTCTCTGTTATGCATATTCAATACCAGAATCTGCCCATTCGTTTTTCAAAGATTCGACATAATGGGCAAATTTCCTTAATTTTGCATACGAGTGTAACTTTAATCCTTATAAATGAGACCCATTCTATCGTCTCTTGGAAAACACTTAGAATTTATCATCAAACTCAAAACAAAAAATACTTAGCTTGTGTCTGCATTTTATTCCTTTAAGCGAACTAAATACTCATTGATGCAATGTAAAATGCTTATAATTGCTATAATTTCAGGCTGAGGCTAATAGCATTCTTTCTTTTCAGATATTGTAAAATAATATAATTACCAATTTTTTTCTCTCAAGCTTAGACAGATATGATTTGTTTTCAAACCCTGTTCTAATGAACGTTTGAAACATTTGCCGTTTTATTCTTTAACTTTTTTACTTAAAATTTCAATCTTTTCTTTCGTTTTTGATGTATTTTTTATACAGCTTCCATTTGTTTTAATACAGCATTTCGTTATGAGGGACGTGTTTTTCTGACGGAGTTGTATAGATTCTTGAAATGACGTTCATAAATATTCTGAAAACTTTATTATCTACAACATATATTCAACATATATTCAACAATCTACAACATATATCAATAGTTCATATTAAATAATATATTTTATAAGTCCATTTGTTCAACTAAAACTAAGAATATTTCTACAAACAAAGCATAATTGTGAAAAAAGAGAGATTTCAGATATCAAGCTAAGCATTTGTTTTTTATGAATCATTCTTTTTCAGTTCGCTCTGGAAGAAACCTTGCTTGTAAACTAAAATAAGCACAGTTTTTATCAGGTAAAAGGCACCTTCTTGTATCCCTTAACATGTGAATATCACAGCTGCAAAATGATAAACATTGTACGAGAGAAGAGGATCATATCCAAACAACGACCGTTAACAACTTGTAATCTGAAAAAGGATGTCTTTGCTCCTTTGTTTGTTAAAAGACGCAGATGGAGAAGTTTTCATGTGGCTGATCTTTACTCTCACGTTCACATTAGCTAAGGTATTTTGAAAGAGAAACAAACGCCAAAGGTCGCTTTGGAGGCTGGACAGATCTCGAAAGTTCTCTGATGCAATCGGATGATTGCCACGGTGAGTACCATTTTGTTTCATTATACACCTACTTTGTTTTTAACTACTATGATAACAACGGATTGTGATAAACTAAGGTCTGCTGATAAGACCTGTGAGAAATGAAATTTGGAATTTATACTAATAATTATAATCTCTGTTTCTGACTAACTTTGTTCTTAATCTGGAAGATTATAATGGCAAAATTACTTACTCTGAAGCTGAGTTTACAGAATATAATCCTTGTCAGATATTTTCTTCATTTTCGCTAGACGCGTTTATAATAATATTTTCAAAGAATTCGTTCGCTATTTACATTTTAATAATAACTTTATAACTTAAGTCAAAATTTAGATTATATTTACCGCATATATAATTAATCAAATTTATAAATATCTTTGCTATCATTGAAACTGAGTATTTCTGCACTAATTAATATTAAACACCTATCAAATATTCTAAAATACATATGCACACACATTTAATATCGTGTGATGCATTTGAAACTGCAAAATGTAGTTAAATAATCGCAAGATAAAACTTGCATTTATCCTCAAGTTAAATATGAGGGAAATATATTGAACTTTCGTGGCAAGAATATCTCTTTTGCATGCTGAATTTATTCTTCATGAAAAAGAAATGAGCTTAAACCCTTTTTAAATATGAGTTAAGCTAAATTAAATTAGGTAGATTTGTCATTATCAAAGTGATATCTTTTCATTCTCTCTGAAACTGCGTTGTTGAAAGTTATTGGCAAACTATTTGCAAGCTGCAAAACAGGAGACTAAAGTGTTATTTCAAATGATATTCCATGTAGTAAAAATGCTACTTGAATTTAAGTCATAGTTATAGTATTGTAATTTGCTGAAAGATCAGTCAACAGTAACAATTTCTTTAAACTTTATTATTAGTTCTTACCAGTTCACATATCCCGAAAGCATAATTTAGAAAACCCTAAGTGCTATTCTTGATGCAATATGAACTATGTTTTACCTTGTATAATTTATTTCACTATTATTTATAAAAGTTAATTAAAAATTTTTTTCGATTACGTTCCCCTTTTCATTATGAAGGAGGAATACGGATTTTTAAACACCTCATAGATAGCTTGTACCTCACAATTTTTTTTTTATAAACTCACTCTTTCTAATAGAAAATTTATTTCTGGAAAGAAAATTTCGCTAAAATTTTCATTGAAAACAGCCATTCTATAAGAACGTTCTGTGGCGGGAGAGTTACTACATATAGCCAACTGTTATAAATTAAATACACATTACGGAGAGCCAGTTATAAAACAATATCCATTGTATTTATAATACATTGCGTTGTATTATACACATATATACATGTATGCATTTGTTATCTCATTGACATTGTATTTATAATACAGTGTCCAGTCAGTTCGGAAAAAATAAATGGAATGCTCGAGTTTATAAAAAAAAATTCTTTCTTAAATTTCATACAGTTCTTTCAAAATTTTGATAAACGCTCAAAATGGATACTGTAATTGTTGTTACATTTGCTATTTTCATACTTTGGATGAGCTCGATTACATGCAAAGGGAACGCTGTATTGTATGCAATTTTAAGCTACGCCAGCGGGATATCCGAAATAGCTGCATATCAAACAGTGTTGTAATTGGGCGGGTATTTAAAGGCACGTGCTAGAATTCTGTTGAAATTTAAAATTATTTAGAAAAACAGCATAAATAAGTGAATAAAAGTATATTTGAAATAAGCTTATTCCTTCGAGAAAAAGTTTCATAGAATAGTTGTTAAATTCTGGATTCTAGCAGGATTTTGTGAAACTCTATTTTGGTAAAACTCTTCAGAATAGAATGAAATTTCATTGTTATAAAGCTAGCATTTAGTGGCATCGTAATTATTAATAGTGCAGTGGGAGCCCAGAATCAATCACCACCACGAAGAAGAAATCGGTCGAGTACTTATTGTCTCTTGAACTATAAGTTAATTTTGGCTTTAGTATATCAAAGGCAGTGTATGAAACAGATAGAGCGAATGTCTAGGATTTGAGTCTCAGACGATGCTTGAAGTCTCTTCAATTATGTTTGTTAAAAGTTGTTGTACTGTAAAATTTCGCCAAAATTGTTGCGTAATCTTAAATTATTATTCTTAAGCATTTTAATCATAAAATACTATTTTTAAACGACAACTAATAAAATTTCATCTCATTTAAAATCCTTTTGCTCAAAAGGAATCGAAAATTAAATATTAGTTCATCTAGCTTATTTTAATTACTTCACGCAGTTACTCAGTAGACATTTCAATGTTTATTTAAATATTAAAATTAATACGTACCATTTTTGATACATCCTGTATTAACTTGTTGTTAGTAAATAAACACATTACCTTGCTGCTTGTTGATGTGGGTACTGAATATCAACCAATGAAAACTAGCAAAATAGCGTCAACAAATCATTACTAGACCAGACCACATACTAATATGAACAACTTGTCCATCTAACATATTAAAATTAAGCATGACGATCGTTCACATACAAACCCACCAGCGGCCTAAAGTCGCTGAACACTGTTAGTTCGGTCCGAGGTTCGAATCTCGCGAACGGGCTTGCTGCATGGGCGTTTTCGTGGTTTTCCCCATGTGTAACGTGTATACGAGCCAGTTTCCCTTAGAAAGTCCTCCACGAAGGCATCCCTTCCCTTAGGCAGGTAGCCCTCGTGTGCTTTGCCATAATTAAAATACACCATACACCGTTCACATACAGACAAAAGCTTCCGAATAAAGCAAGAAAGAGAGAGAGACTAGGCTCAATTGCTTATTTCTTCAACGCAGTAAGTATATCGATATAATATTCAGCTATCTGGAAGAAGCTTTAAATACAGTGTCATTTGGAATTCCATTGAACGAGACTGTCCAAACTTTGCAAATCGAAAATAGTATTTTATTTAGAAAATATTAAACTTTAAAGAAAAATTATCCCCAAGACAGATTTTCGACAGGATTCTTCTTCAAAATTTCCGTGTCATCAGTTGAATTTTAAATTCTTATTTTTTAAATAATGACAGTAACAGTGTGGATAAAACAACTAAACTCTATTAACTCCTCCTGGCTTGATTCCCATGATCGAATGAGCTGGCTGCATGGGTTTTCATGATTTTACCCACGGCTGCAAACCAGTTCTCAGTTTAAAATTTTCAGTAATGTCTAAAGACTAAAGAGGGTAGAAAGAGGTAGAAAAGGAAAGATACTCAAAAGGATAGAAAAGAATATCATGCTATAAAAAATTACCTTCTTAAATTCTTAGAATAAATTTTGCTAAGTTACATACATTGCAAAGATGAGAGATTAATAAAAGACGTACTGCTATGTATTCTTATTTATTGTTGAAGAGTTTCGCAACCAATTGTGGCATTTCATGTGCTCTTGGAGAAATTCAGCGAACAACATTATTATAATCACAGTTCATAAACATTATTATAATCACAGTTCATAAACATTATTATAATCTCAGTTCAAGTAAATATAAGAATTGGTCGATATGTTTAATGAAATGAATTTGTGATATATTTAATGAAAGACAGCTTTAGACTGACGAAAAGAGCAAAACAATGAACCATGAAAACCAAACATAGATTCAGATAATACACATATTTTTTATTTTGTTTACATTTTCTTTTATATTTCCTTTTTTTTTTTTTTTTCCCTTTTATAAAATTTAAAGCTCAAGAAAGAACTATAGTTAGCTAAATATGCATGAGAATAAACAGCAGAAAATATTAAAGACACAATAACACGCCGAATAAATACTAATTCAGAAGTCAAACAACCAAAATCAGCGTTACATATACAAAATTTCCACAGGACTAGTTTCGATGGTTCTACCGAACCACCATTCTCAGCTGTAAAACCGCAAATAAACAACATAGGAAATAATGATTAGATAAGATAAGAAATATTGGAAAAGAATAAGCAAGTGGCGCCATCTGTTTGTGAAACCAGAACTAAAACATAATTTCTTTAAAGGCCGAAGGCAAATTTGGATTGGAATTAGGATCGTTAACTAGAACAGAAAGATTTTTATGAATGTGAAATGCCTCTAGAAAATCTGGTTCTCCAATGGAAGATGTTTTTTGAATAATTTTGGCAACAGAAAAATTGAAAGTGTGATTTTAGGACCAACAATGTTGAGCAACAGAAGACTTCTGTGTTTCCTTTTTTCTAACATATGCCTCATGTTCCTTGAAGCGAAATTTTAAGGCTCTCTTTGTTTGGCCAATGTAAATTAAACCACACTGGCAAGGAATCCTATAAATACCCCAGGAATTCATATCCGGAATGGGGTCCTTGTGTATGGAACTCGGAATTTTATTGATAGAAGAATAAACAACCCGAAAGTTAAATTTCTGCAAAATATGTGCAACTTTATAGCTAATTGATGGAAAGAAGGGAATGACAACAGAATTTTTATAATCTCCTAAAACAAGAGTGTGAGTTTTTTAACTGTTTGATTAATAATGTTGGGTGAAAAGCCCCTGTCAATAGCTATTGCTTTTAAATAATTTAGTTCTTCATCAAGGGCTAGTTTGGAGGAGCAAACTTGAAGAGCACGGAAAACATATGAATAAAATGAAGCTAACTTTTGTTTAGTCGGATGACATGATTTAAAGTGTGGTGGAAGGCAAGCCGATGAAGGTTTACGGTAAACCGTAGTACTGAAGTTGGATGTGTTACGTGTAACCAGAATGTCGAGAAAGGGAAGAGAATTGCAAGTCTCAAGTTCAAAAGTGAACTGAATAGCAGGATCAATAGAATTCATTGTTGAAAGAACTTTATTTAAATCATCTTTATTACTTTCAAACAGGGTAATGCACCCTCCACTGGAACATTGGTGAATAATGATTTTACATCAAAAGAAACCATGTGTAAATTACTAAGAGAAATGCTTTTAACCTTTTTTACAAACTCTATTGAATTTTTTATGGTGTGAATGTTATTGTCTAATAGAGTGGAAAATCTAGAAACTAGAAACTAAATATTTAGCTAATGGATACGAGGCAGTACCTAAATTTGATACAATAGGGCGGAAAGGAATACCACTTTTATGAATTTTGGGAAGAGCATATAATCTGGCACAATTCGCAACAGATGGGATAAGCGAATGTTTTAAGTTGCTTGAAATGATTTGCGAAGATTTGATCGCAGTTTTTATTTTTGACAAGTCCGAAGGTGAAGGATCTTTAGGGATCGGATATATGGTCCTTCGTTTCAGAGTTTAGTGACACCATCGATGTATTGTGGAAATTTTGTAAATATAACGCTGATTTTTGTTGTTTGACTTCTGAATTAGCAGAAAATGTGTTTCCTTTTATTTCAGTTTCTCCAGATTTACTTGCAAACTCCTTGGTGAAAAGTGACAGTTTCTCATGGCAGCAGAAAAAGGTGGAATGGAACAATTATATTTCATTATAATGAAATTTAAATGATCTAATTTAAAAAAATTTCTTAAGTTTTATAAAATATTATTTTAGGCAATTAATATTTGTTAATCTTAACAAAGAATGCGCATGTCTTGGGTGAAGAATAAATTTCAGCTTTTATTTATTAGCTAAATGAAAATGTAATAATTCATGTACAGCATGAGCTGATATTTAAAAATTTTACATTATTAATTGAGTTTCTAATCCAAAATTCTGCAATATGAATTAGATAATTAAAAGGAATAAGATTCTTGAGTTTCCAAGTTGGTTACTGAAAAAAAAAAAAAAAAAAAAATGTTACCTAGAAAGCACAAATGCCACACTTATATGCATATATTTTATAATAGTGCTTTAATTATACCGTCTAATTATGCGAGACAAAGAATCTACGTAACGGGGTTATATCATTAGTAAGATAAATTACACAAGCATACTCATATTTTGCATCGCATTCTCGCGATATCCAGTGTATATTATGTTTATAAGGAACATTAGATATCTTTAACACTCATTTTTACATAAATTACTGTTATACAAACTTGCAGATTTCATCCTTCATAAGGGAAACTGCGTATCGGGAAGGGAATGTGACAATAATTTAAAATTAGAAAGTCCGGATTTAAAGTTTTGAAACGTAAAGCAATTTTACTTAGATTATAACGCTGTCCTTTAAACAAATATATAATTCTATAAAGAAAGCAGTATCACTTATTCGTACTAAACAATGTTTGGTTAATATTATAATCCTCATGAAATGAAACATTTCTATATTCTAATATTTCCAGAGCTTAAAGTTATTCAAAAAATGCGATAAAAAATAATAGATGTATCATATAATTTTCGACGCATCATGTAATTTTGAGGGGGAAAAAGCTGTCTATCATAATATTTGAAAATATCATGTTTAGTACTTAAAAGCTTATATATATATAATGAAAAAAAATTTTATTATTTAAATAAAATATATATCTTCGAGAACCATAACCAAAATGGGTTTACCTTTTTTTTTTTTTTTTTTTTTTTTTTTTTTTACACAGCAAAGCAAGCATGCAAATGAAAGGTTATCTGCCCCGCTGTTTATCCGCTCTCCTTTTATTCTTGCTCAAAAGGGGCTATTAGTCTGGAAACATGATTAATGCGTTATTTCAGTTTTCATTTCAGTCTCTTGTCATTCGGAAACATGAAAAATATAATTCTTTCACATTTAATCTGTGTGTTATTAATTGACAAATTAAAGTATTTAAAAGCAACATATTCAGATCTTAGATCTATTATCCTTTCACTTTTTAATCTGATTGATTTATTTAAAAATGCATTTAATTCAAGATATATCTAATTACAACATTAAATATTTTTATAAAACTACATATATTTTCACTTTTTAAATATACAGAAGATATATAAAGTTCTCATTTTAGTCTAAATGCATATTCATTTAATATCCTATAAATGTATCGCTATTCCACCTGGGTCCTCTCTATCAATAATCTGTCTGTATTGATAAATATAATCTCTATCAATAATGTGTGTATTGATATTTATCAATAATTAGCAAAGCAATAACTTTGGTGTAGATTTTAGTCAAGACTATCAATTTCCAGGTCAAACGGGTACAGGTCAATCTGTTCAGGAGCAAAGAAATCTGGATCGAAGGGAAAGCCACAGTTGTATACTTATACCCAACAGGAGTAAAGCGAATGAGAAGGTAGCGCTTTTTGACGGAAGAAAAAGTAAAGAAAACTGAAAAATTAAGTTAATAGAGTTTTAAAAACGTTGGGAAGAACTGGATTAACTAATTAATATAAATCTTTGTGAATGTAAAAAAGTTTCAAGGAAATCCAATTCACCAATGTAAGGAGACTTTTAGATAGCTTTTGCAGACCCATTCAAGGTCTAAATTATGATTAAATTTCCAACTATAATTAGCTACCGAAGACTTTAATTTCGCATTTTTGGACATTAATTTTTCCTTTTCGCTAAATGTCATGTTCCTTGGTAAGAAATTGTAACACTGTTTTAGTTTGGCCGATATATCTAAAAAAAAAAAAAAAAAAAAAAAAAAAAAAACTGACTAGGTTTGCTATAAATCCTCCCAAAATTAAAGTCAGAAATGGAATCTTTAAGAATCGAACCATGGATTGATATGCGAAAAAAATGACTTGAAAATTGGACTTCTGAAGAATCAGCGGAATTTTTAACTGACCGAAGCATGAAATGGAAGTACGACAAGAACGACAGCGGAAAGTCTTCTTTGATGACATGGCGAAAATTTTTTAAAGGCTTTATCAATGACCCAATGAGAAAAATCCTCTGTCAGTGGTAACTGATTTAAAAAAGTAGAATTCATCAGCAAGCAAAGGTTCTAAGGAACAACCTTTGAGAGTGCGAAATAGATAATAATAAAAAGAAGCATTTTTTTTTTCCTTAGCCGGGTGACATGAATTAGCATGGGAAGGCAAACAAATAGAAAAGGATTTACTATAAACAGTAATGCTGAAATCAGATTCATAGCGGATTATAAGAATATGGAAGGGAAGGGGTATTTATCAGATTCAGTTTCAAAAATGATTTGGATGCCTGGATCAATCGAATTTATAACTATATAAAATCCGGAATAAACTTTCTTTATTACCATATAGTTTCCCCTCACCTTGCACTTTCCCTCCATTCACCTTTTTTTTTTTTTTTCCAGTCTTATTTAAGATATGGATATCACCCTTCATATTTATAACAGTGTATTTCTTTTTGTAGCGGATTAACTAAATAAAAATATTACGCTTTATACGCAAGGAAGATAGTGCTCGGATAAAACATCACGGCTTTCACAAACACATTAACATACATAAGTATAAAACAATGGATAAGAAATAAGTAAATAAAAAAATAAGTAAGAGCGAACTGGCATAAAATAACCGGCTCGGTTACACCATGTATTGTACAATAAAAGTTTTTTTTTTTTCAGAAACAAGATAGAAGAAGCTTCATCCCGATCACAGCCGTAGCAAAGAATGTGCATATAAAGAAGGAAAGCTTCCATAGACGAATGTAACCCAGTTTGACGACTGCGCCGCTAAATCGTGAGGGAGAAATTCTTCGCGGAGAGAGTGTACAAGAAACTGAGGAATACGGGATACAAAAACCAAAGAACTTGTAGGATTCGTTCTTTGACAAAGCTTTTGGTGACAACTAAAACTTCGATTTTCGTATATTTTTTTACTCAAAATAAATAATCCATTAATCTTCTTGCGTAGATAATTAATTTGGTTTTTCTTCGATACGGCGGGGGGAAGGGATGGTGTCACAGAATTTTGAACTCTTGTTAAATGTAACCTTCAACCGTCGGCAGCTTTTTCGCGCGTGCGCAAAAAGATATTAAAGCTGGATCTGCTTCGACACCGGTTCGACGGTTATTTCGCTCATGCACAAAATGAAATTAAAGCTGGATGAATAGTCACTTTAAAGTAAACTTGGAATGTATTTTTCCCTCTGCGGTTTGAAAGAGCCATTTCTGCTTTGACGAAGCTTTCATTCACAACATACATTCATTCGCTTAACATAATGTTCTTTGACCGTAGCTAGGATTTTCAGCGAGCGAGCACAAATGAAGACTTCGCACTCCTTCATGTTTGCCAAGAATGGAAAAACTCCTTCATGTTTGCCAAGAATGGAAAAAACTTCATTCCAAAATTTCGTAACATCAGTATGCTGATCCTCTGGCTGCTGCGCCCGGGACACATCCTCCCTTGCCCCCTCCAAGCTACCCAATGACCCCAATGTTCAACCACAGTATTTTAGAAGAGAACTTAGAAGACAAGGTTTTGTAAAAGCAGCAACTATTGTTAGAAAGAAATGATTCTTGGTGTAAACACAAAATTGGTCTACATAATAAGTAACTGCTTTTCTGAAAATGTTTCTCAGACTGCGTAATTTTCAGATTTGGTGACATATTCATGTATGATAACATCATTGAGTTAAATGAGATAAATGCTTATGACGCGTTTAATTGGCTTGTTATAAATTATTTTTTGTTCTTATAAACAAATAAGTATATCCTTCGCATTCATTTTAAGTTAATTTAATAGCCTTTATAAAAACATAAATACTTGTATTTTTGTATTATTTAAAATAACGAAAAATTGAAATTACTTTATAAGGCATTTCTCCCATTTTCTTAGCGTGCCTTCGTGGTGTAGTGGTTCTGCACGCTGGGCCGGTATTCCAAAGGTCCGTGGTTCGATTCCCGGCGAAGGCGGTTGCTAATTTTTCATCTTGCCTGCTTCCAAAAAATTCCTAATGTCTTTACAACTTAAGTAAATTAACTTTGAATGGCGATGATTTAAATAATTGGAATATTTCAGCATATAATGATCTAAATTGTAAACTATCATATTTTGAAAGCAAGGCTTTTCCTAACAAAGTAACCAACTCTAAAATAAATCTTTTAATGACAACAGAAAGCTTTCAGCAGCCAAACTGCATACATAGTAATTTTTAAATGTCCTGAGGTTTTTATTTTAGACTAATATTACAGAACACAACAATCTTAATAAGTTCTAGTAGTAGACTAAAGGAAATAATTTGTAGGAAAAGGAAATTGGGGGAGAAGGTTAAAATTTATTTTTTGTTTATCGAAGTATATAATAATGAACAGGATGAAATCTATGAGTAAACAAAATTCCATCATTAATTTCACGATAATTCGTCAAAACAAAATCATTCTTATTTCTTTATGAATATCAATGATTGAAATTTTAGTAGTCTGAACTTGAAGAGGAAATCTATTGACTTAGTGTTTTTTCTTAATATGCGCTGCTATTTTTGTAAATGCTATTTTCATTTTATTTTATGTAGTATGTGTATACCATACTAAATATGTACCACAGTTATAATATATACCAAACTAAATATAGTAAACTTAACCGACAACGCACATATTGGGAGCAGATCTTGCGAGATGAGTCAGCTGAAACATCGCGAAAGGTAAGTATGCACAAAGAGTTTTTCACCGGTCTTCGCAGTGGACACTGGGGTTAGTTCCCAAGAACATCAAGTTCTCTAAGGACACACAGCTGATTGTGTTATTACGGTACGCTCTAGTTGATTGTGTTCGATTTTCCATATGAATCGAAAGACTGTAGAGGCGGTTTAGCTACATTTTCACTCACTCCTACACCGTACATTTAGGTTCTTACAAGCAAAGTAACTTTTACAGCAATATTTTACCTCGGTCCACTAACGGTCGAGCAATAAAAGCCACTGAACATTGGTGGTTTGGTCCAGGTTTCGAGTTACGGGATGGCTATAAGGGCGTTTTCATGGGTTTTACCAAGCGTAACGTGGATACGAGTCAGTTTCCCTTAAAGAGTCCACCACGGGGCATCCCTCCCTTTATGTGTAGTGCCAAATTGCGGAACACATAAAAAATTACAAAGAAAAATTTCCTTGGGGTTGATGTAAGTGATTATGAGAAACGTGAAAGAGTTCGGAACAAATCATACAGCCGTAGCAATTCGAAGTTAAACCGAAGAGGGGCTCGCTTGATGAAGCAAGTTCCCCTCGGTCCATCATTAAGAAGCATGCGCAAGCATATAAGGAAGTATATTTATTATAGTGCGCTATTCAGTTATCAGCATCATAATTCTGTAAGGTTATATGCATCGAAAAATTAAATTTAAAAAGGAAATAAAAACGTCTAAAAAAAGCATATTATTTCCAAATATTTTTGTCCATACAAAAATTAAATATTACATTTATTTACATAAAAAAATGAATAAAAATTAGACCAAATAAGCAAAACAACAAATTTCCGCTAACTACAATTTTTGTTTTATTTTTTTTTTAGCTCAGTTTAACTTCATCGAAAGGTTTTTTACTACAAGAAATGAAGCGGAAATTACAGTGTGTCACCCGACGGTTAACAGTGTTCGATCGAAAGAGCAAAGCATAGACTTGGAATAGATTTTACCACATCACCCTTAGGAATGGAGCTGAAGATTAAATCACTGAGGTCGTTGAGATCAATAGACATTTTATTTTGGGGCAGAAGATGTGAAAAACGTGCCACCTCCTAAGCGGAATTCGAACGCCAGACCCTCCGACAGATAGCCGGAACTGCTTTCCAATTAGACCATGAAAGCATTCGTTAAAAAAAAAAAAACGAGAAAATATCTTACAAGGTGATTGCTATGCATAAAAATTTTGGAAATTCTACAAGACCTAAACTGAGCCAAACTGATTGACGAATTAGTACAAGCAATAATTTTAGCCTCCGAAAAATAAAGTTGGCGTTAATATCTCAACAACGAGATGTTACTGAAAACCTTCTCACTTCTATCTGTTCAACATACTTTGTTGTATGTCTTTACCCTAAATTTTAAAGGTATTAAAATCTCCATTTCTGCATTGAAAATCTTCATTTATTTAACAATAAACTGCTCAAAATTATTTTCTATTCTCCAAGTATCATACGCATCAAATCAAAAATGAATACGTAAAATATTTAATAACATGGAAATAAATAAAAAAAACTGTTTTTCTGCCTTATGAGTTCCCTTTCGGAGGAAATATGCACATTTTATTAGATATTTATTTATATATTCATTGCGCAACTGTAAACTATATGAATGTTTATTTTACTGATTTTTACAATTTTATCATAGAGAAATATGCACTTTTATTTGCATTTACCTTTGAAGTTAAAAAAATAACTTTTTTTCGTATATAGAACCTTTTGGTGAAATTCACATTCGCCACTGTTTTAAAACGAAAGTATTTGTGATCTAGGAGGTGGGTTGGACAGAAGAAAAATAAATTAAAGGGAAAAAAAATAATTATTTGCTTGTCCATCATTCGTTCCTGTGAAACATTTTCTGATCAGAAATTACAATTTCCTGCTATTACGGCTACGTTTTCTGTATCTCCTAAACTTAATATTCAGTTAACAGTTTCTTAATTTTTACCTAAATACAGAGAATAAAATTCTGTTCTAATTTTAAAAGAAAACTTTGAGCGTTTTTTATGAAAATCTGATGAAATAATATTTGTCTAATTCCAAGATTTCTCTTTCGTTGACAGCTATTTTCCTGATTTTTACTTAGATTGGGATCTCTATCCAGACATCAGTCACTAATGAGTTCCTAACTTGGTTACCAAGGCCCTTACTTTTGTCTGATGGAATTCTGAGTAAGTATAGATTTGTTAATTGTCTTAAATATGCAGAAAATAAAAGAAAGGTATGAAATTTGCAATCAATGTAATTAATCAAGCAATTAATACTTAAATGGTCAATGTTCTTAAAAATTTTTAAATGTTCATTGTATAACAGTATACATATTTCAAATAATTCGAAAACAAAATTCTGAATTAAACCTCGTCTTTTAATCAAAGAATATACCAAAAAGGAATAACTTAAGGTAAATGATAATTCTTCTTTTCTCGATTTTATAAATATTTTTTGATTCAAACGCAGAGAGGAAATCCATTAAACCTGCTTGATCTTTTAGAAAAGCTGCATAAGTTTCAAACTGAGGACTCCCAATGTTTCCATATAAAAAAGTTTGTTTAAGTTTTTACATAATTCGGTTTTTTATTTCGCATACATTTATCCAATTATTAAAGCTACGAAGGAAATGTGAATCATCTAGATTTTATTTCTGCTGTAATTCAATTTTAATATGTGTTATTAAATTTAGAATTTGCTTATTCTCACCCTAAGTGGAATATTTTCAGCGCTATATGAGAAAGGTCTTAAAATGAAGTTTTAAATTAAATTGTTTCTAGAGCGCTAAAGGTAGCGCCGAATTGCTTGCTTTCTTTTCTCCTGCCCTAGTTTCAGCAATGAATCAAACGAATTGTGCTTACCATGTAAGGATCTTAAGTTGTACTAACGTTTATTTTATTTTAAAACTTCACTATCCTCTCTTATTTTCCACTTCCGGCCAGAATTAAATGCGTTAACTTGCTTATGCAAATTGTACTTGCTAACGCCCAAGTATTTAAGTGTGCCTTTTCGCCAAGAGCAGAATTAGATAGAGAGAAAGTGAGCCGCCTTGCCACTGTATTACACGCGAGTTTCTAATGAGCTGCTGTCCGCCTTTACGGCCAGAGGTTTAGTCCTCTTGATACTTAAAACGCATTGTAGTTTCGGCAGTTTGCGTACTACATACGTAATAATTTAAAAGGCCAGTCTTAGCGTTAGTCAATTGTGTAAAGCACTCGCAGTTAACCCTTACTTTTAGTTAGTAGTTTTTATATTTTTAAGTTCAGACCACAAGTGGTTGGTCTCTGTATCCCGAAGTGCGGGAGCACCTGTAATATCGTGGACAAATAAAGGGTAAAGTTAACCCTTCCTGCTTGTCTCCTCCATTCCACACATATTTGAACATAGCTTGAGTAATCTCCTTGTTCCTATTCAGGACACCTCATATTCCCGAAACAAATCAAAAGACATACAAGACCTGATAACCATACATAATATAATTTTAATACAAAATGATTCAAAGATTCAAAAGATAAATTCTTAAATTTTTGAAGTGGGTGATTCAATCAATTCAATTTTAGTGAGATAAATGGCAAACATTATTTTACATACCTCTTGTTGATATTTTTGCATATAGTATAAGCGTTGAATTAGTTTGTAAGTGTATTATGAGGCTAAATAAGGATTAAAAAAATCTCGATTTACGAAATTCTTTCAACTTAAATATGTTAAAGCGTTATTATTGTTGTTTTAAAAAAAGCGTATAGTACAGCGGTATTCAAAATTAAGGTAATTTTCACATCTGGTGGCTATCTCCGAAGCTGAAGCAAAAATTTCGATGAAGTTTAGTATATACATAGGTCGATATAATACGAAAGGCATAATATACAAGAGTCATGGTATATACACATGATCATGAGTAAGGCTCGTCGACGTTGGAAGGTCTAAATCAGAGGACAAGATATATAATACCGAACAAAAAAATGAGACTACTAGAGGTTATGGTCCTAATAGTCATACAACTCTCATAACGTTACTTCATTGTGGAAACGAGGCATTTTATGAATCCGTGTAATAGACGATCGTACCACTTACTGCAATGATACTGTCCCAAACGTATTATATAGGGTTTAGGATTGGAGAGCTGTTTAGCCAAACCACCCGGTTATTATGCGGACTCCAGACTACTCTTATGTGGACAAATTCTGTCATCCATAAAAATGAGCTTGGGCCAACTACACCCCTGAAAAGGCGAACAGAGAGCTCTCAGAATATGTCTCTTTGCAGGAAGTTACGCTGTTTACGTCTCGCTTAGTTCTGAGCTCAAGGGAGCTTGTTTAGCAAAGTGGAGAAAACACCATCGTTACATCAAACATCAGTGAGGAATCGTTCCCTTCACAGATGATTTCAGATTCAGCTTAACCACTCATCTTCCATGCACCTTTATTTAGAGAGAGCAAGGGAACTGTTATCCGTTGTATTTCAACATCCGACAAATGGACCATTTGACTGCGGAGGCTTGATAATCTGGGCAGGCATGATGCTGGACCGGCGCACAGCTCTTCGCCTCTTTGATAGAGGCTCTGTGCCTATTGCTAGATATAGTGGAGATTAAAGCCTCACGTTCGCCTTTTCAAGAAGGCAATTTTCCGTTCAATTTTATTTGGAACTTGCGTCCACATAGGATAATCTGGAATGACTTTCTGGAAATGAGGTTATTAACCAGATGGATTAATCAGATTTGCAGACCTAAACCCTACAGAACCTTTTTGAGAGGCCCTCAGATGAGAAACTTCAAATCGCCTTTCCTCTTCCAGAATAATCTAGCACTAGTGGGATCGACTCCCACAAGGATTCGTATACGAGCTTTCCTTCATTTCCAGTGTGAAGTGCGTAGTGAGAGCTAAATCACCATTAAAACGAACCACATTTTAAAACGAGCCACATCTTCTATCAGCCTCTTTTTTTTTTTTGTCTGCAGTTGCAACCTTTGTCTCAGACCTTCCTACGTCGATGAGATTATGCAAGATAATACATGTCTGCCATGACTGCTGCATGGTGTGTTTCTGTATGTATAAACATATACACTCTCGCGCTTGCGCACACACGCACGCACTGGTGAGTCAAAAAAACACATTTTTTTTTTTTTTAGTTTTCTACGGCTATACCCCGGGAAAATTGCTTATCATCTAGCTAGTAAAATGAAAAAAAAAAAAAAAAAAAATGCTTTCTGATAAAAATATATCTTCCTTTCGTGCATCGCACTCTGTTTTGAAAAATAACAAAATTTTGCTGCTTTTCGGTTTATTTTTATTTTTATTTTTATTTTTTTATTACTAAACTCACTGTTATCGAAATGCAGTTTTTCTGAATGTTTATTTTGAAGCATGGCAAAAAGGTTTAAAATCTGTAATTTCAAATTATTTATCGTTTCCGCAAAAAAGCTCAAAAGAAAAATATTTTTAATAGCAATATTTCTTAATTTCTGATAATTTTACTTTTTCATTTTTAGTGTACAAACGATGAATATATTCCTTATTTTTAATTTAATTCAAAAGAAGCACCTTAAAGTTAACTTTTTTGGAAAATTTTCGCATAGTACATCTTGCATCCTAATCAAGCCGTCTTTTGCGTTCCGGTCACAAATTTGATACGCCGCTCTACAAGCTGGTGTGACAAGGAAAATTCTGAAAATCCGGTTGCAACGGTCTTTAATCGATTTTTATATTCTTATTCGTAATGTTCCTTAATAGTGGAGTAAGAGAAATATTGCAACTATCCCACCAAATTATATTGACGTAGTGCCTTGTTTCGGAGTAAAGTTTAGGCTTGATGAAGTTTCAACTAGTCTTTCTTTGGAAAATAATCGAGCTTTTAATAATCGGAGCAGCCTTTGTTCTGTCATATGAATTTTTTTATTCATAATCATTACAAGGATCAAATCTTCAGGATGAGCAAAGAAAGCAAGTCCAGTTGAATTACTAGGTTGAAGATTTGCAATAAATTTTCTGTTAGATAACATAATATTCTAATAGCATCAAAACCTATCTCTGGACCGTCTGTGAAATTTTTGATGGTTTTGACACTGAGCCAGAAAAGCGAGTAACAATTCAAAATAAAATGCATTGATTGCCGCCTAATTTCATCAGTATGTTTTCTAAGCTCACGTAACATCTAAGAACTCGATTTCCTGTCGTCTAATGAAAGCGGACTAAGGTCATGAACTACAAAATATTTTTAAATTTTACACGACTTTGCAGCAGCAGAAATACCAACTAAGTATAACTGATCCTTGCTCAACACTTCTCTGCCAATTGAGGAATGGAAATTCAAACTTTTAAAACTTTGAGTGCGATGCGCGAACAGAAAATATAATTTGATTTGAAAAATTTGTTTTTAATGTTACTTAACTAGGTAATAGGTAACCTTTTCGGGGTATAGCGATAGAAAAAAAAAGCATATATTTTACCCTAAAGTATATATCACCCTAAAATAAACTTAAAGCATCTAAAGTTAATATTAAATTGGAATCAAAGCAAGGGAATTCCTCTACAATATTAATATTTGTAACAGTGTATAGATGTTTAACACAATACCTAGCCAAATCAAAATTAAAATAAGAATTCATGGTAGAACAAACTGGAAAAATAAAAATGAGGAATGGAAAAAACACAAAATTATAAAAATATACAAATTGAAAAATTGAAAAAATGAATCTCCCTTTACTGAAACTCCAATTCAGAACTCATCAGGGGAAAATGAATTAAAGCTTCAGAAAAAGCGATTAGTATGTTTCGAAAACATGTTTCGTTTTCCTGGTTCATTTGAGATCAAAAACTGAAAAAAGATTCAATTAAATTTTCAATTTAAGACATTAAAATTCATATAAAACAGTAAAATTGAATCTCAAATGTACCATAATTTTTTCTTTGAAACACTTGGAAACAAGAATAAAAACATAACATTGCGCGAAATTGCCTACTCAAATATGTATATATAACTTTTTGCAAATTGACATTCCAAAAAAGAAATTGGTCTAAAACCATTATATGCAAAATCGAAATTCAAAAGCTATTACAAATAAAGAGCAAAACAAATATACATTAAACGAAATTGTCATTTAAACAACACTCAAAAATTAGGTGGTACCCGATTATGCTAAACTAAACTTTTAATACCAAGAAAACAAAAAACTTTTGATAGA